CTGTTGATACGAATGAGCTAACTGATAAGATAACTCATTCACTACTCCACCTCCAATCTCGACAAATCGATTTGGTGTAATCGAATGCAAATCTTGTATCCGTAAGGTAACACTCTCTAAAACCTTCCCTCGACCTATAGTAAGGATTATCTCCTCGCCAACAGAATCATCGATAATCGAAAACAAACTGTTAAAGTTGGTAACCATATTGCCATTCACTTTAATTAAAATGTCCCCTGGTATAAGTAGACCATCTGCCGGTCCTTTGGGTAATACTTTTCTCACGACAAGCAATCCCGTTTCCTCGGGAAACTTTTCTCGCACTTGCTGTTCTATACCGGTCTTGAGACCCAATCGGCGTAATTCGTCATACGGAGAATGTTCGAATTCGGTTTGTAATGTGCCGCGGGGAACTTCTTGTCCCTTTTGTAGGTAGCCGAGTGCACGTACTATGCGATCGAGAGGAAGATAGTAGCTCGATTGAGCTCTGCTTGCTCCACCAGCGTTAAGGGCAATGGCATGGCCATCAATGTCGAGAACTGGGCTACCGGATGAACCGCCACTGGTTCCGGAAGCAGCTTGGAGATAGAATGTGTTAAAGTCGTTGTACTCGCCAATGCCATATTCAGGTGCTCTGCAGTTGTGTTTTAAAAAATGAGTAGTTTTGCTTAATATTAATGTGCGAACGATAAGGTTTCAAAACTTTTTCTTGTTTAGCCGTTATTTTCTTCCATTATCTATGTGAGATCCCGGTATACGTGAGCTCCAGGACTACTTGTGCGCACCAGTGCAATAAGCAATTTGTCTTGTTAATCAGATGGAATCACATGAATGGGATCTCACATACAACATACAATATATCATAATACTTGAAGTCTGTGTCCAAACTCTCACCTGCGATCCAATCTAGCCAAAGTCCCAGCCAAAATTGACAGCTTCTCTCCCGCATCATTTCCAACGACTCTTATATCGACGCCAACTTTAGCTCTCTCTGGACTTAACGGGATTTGTACGAGCTGTATAAATTTGACCTTTTTGGGATTGAATCTAAAAAACCCAAAATCGTGAACAGGATCACGATAAATGGGCTCTAATTCGACTTCTTCATAGTTGGTAAAGACCGCTTGGGCTACTGCTGGACCAGGTGACACAACATGTCTGTTGGAGAGGATGAGGCCACGTTCTGCGTCGACTACGAAACCAGTAGCAGTGTATTCGCCTGTTCGCAGATTGCATTAAATGTATTAGTGACATATACTCTGTTTAAATGTACAAAGTTTGAATATGACTTGAACGACGTAATAAACAATCAATATTAATGTTGTACTACTTTTTTCAATTGCTTATAGGTCAATTTATCATGTCACCCTCGCTCTATTATCCATAATTACATTCAAACTTTGTATACATTCCCATTCTTCGATCGTTCCTTTACCCTTCCTTTTCTAATTGATCTCGCAAAACGAGAGAGACATACCCGACACTTCGGTATCGAAACTTCTTACATCATTAGCCTTGATCGCAACAATAGCTTTAATAGAGAGTTCTAACGTCATTTCCCAGCTACGCACTTTCACTGCCTCTGTTGTATCGTCATTAGGCAGAGACGGAATAAATTCCTGTGCAGCAGTATTCACAGTCAGAGTCTGACGTGGCCGAACCGAAGAAGACGACAAAGACTTGGAGCGGGTTCGGAAACTTTTTTCATGCTGAGAGGTAGGTGAAATCTGTTCTCTAGTAGCAGCCGCCTTGACCGCTTGTGGATCTGGTTTGAGATCAGTGGTTTCTTCATTATCAGGCACTGTGACCATCTTGGAGGTCATTTTAGTGATCAAATCAAAATGTGCTGGGGTGAGAATAAATTATCGGTATGTTTTTGACAAATTAAAACAGTATCTTCCCAAACTATGTCCGCTGTGTCCCAGTCGGGATTATCCTTTTTACGATAAATGTGACTAAACGAGACTGGTTACTCTTCTTTTTTATTCTATTTATACCCGATTATATAGTTGCCCGGTATAACTTTTGTCTGGAACTTTTTTATATTATATGTTTGATGTAAAAGGGCGGGAGACAAACGGGGGGTTAAGAAACAAAATTTAAGAGTATCTTTGTTGGCCGTCCACAGATATATGCGCCTTCTTCGTCGTATCTGGTTGGCAGGTTCTCTCTAACGCTGTCAACAAAGAACTCCTTAGAACAATCCGTGAGCTGCACAAACGTGCACAGATTACTAGCCTACTTCACCGTTTTAGGCTAACTATTGTTACAGGAAATTCAATTTCGGCTAGTTTCTTTTTGTAAACCTATTTTTTCTGAAATGAATTACTCCCAGTTACTTTATTTAGATCGATCTGCGTTCACAAAGTTTATCTCCATGCATTGTTTGAGATATATAATTTGATCTTGTATTACCAGAGAGTTTAATTAATCCTCCGATTTAAAATAAGAGTAACTGGCTTTATTGATATTAAAACTCGTTCACAAATAAAAGTTTAATTCAAGAACTCTTTCTACGGAATTAATCGGTTTAACTTTGAGGCATCCTTTTTTCGATTGGACTGTTAGAGGCCAATCAACTAACATTAAATCTTGGACCAATTATCTTCGATAAGTTCACGAGTGTCTTCATTACCTAGCGATTTTAGTCTGCGGGCTGGTTGCCTTTCACGTCGTCATCCCGAGGTCACGCATATTGATATCAGTATATGATGTATCATCTATCGGAAATATTTTTCTACTGACCTCATGACGCAAGTTTTAAGATAATCATGAAAAAGAAGAAGGAAAGATACCGGATATAAAGAACTAATCCTAAACTGAACGGAAAAAGGATATGATCTTAAAGATTAAAAACACTCAACTTTGATTGTGCATAATATAAAAGCAAGGTCGGGATGAATCGAGCTGCATTCCACATTTTTCAAACCTAAACTGTGAGTGAAACAAAGCTCTGCATCTCAAAAATATGGTATTGGTTAAAATACTTGTATTAGCTTTTGCCTTATCTTATGTTTCGACGGGCAAGACTTTCGATGGTGATGCACGTAACTCACTTGGCAAATTCGATGGACATCTGAATACTTTATTAAAGGTCAAGCAAAACAAATCTACCGTTGCATTAATTCCACTGTACAAAGCGACGAGGAAATATCAATGGATTTTGGCTTTGCGACGATATAATTCTCGATCGGACAGTAACAACGACTGCAAGCTATAATGTATACTGATAACAATATAGTAAAATAATTAATGATGAGAGTTGGTAAAAATAGATTAATTAGTCCTGTCGAAAGACATAAAGCAGCGTAGATTTCAGCTAGCTCCATTCATAGTGCTCAATTACTTTCAATTCCTTTATTGTAGATAAACAAGTAGTTTATTTATACCCTACCCTGGAATCCATTCCCTGATGTGAACATGCATATGCATCAAAGCTGGCCCTAACCCACCAACGTATATTTGCATATGCGTACTATAAAAGGAGAGATCAACCAGATGATTTAAATTTTGTTATTATTGTGGCATAAAAAATTACTAGCGTTGTTGATTGCTTAACGCAGTGTTCTTCATAATAAAATGATAGTGATAAAATATTGTACAAGAGGACATAATAGTAATAAAACTTTGAGTATCAAATCATGTGAGCAAATAGACAGGTGCGACTGTAATTCTGTAATGGCGTTGATACTGAGATAAGTATACTGCGTTAAACGTCATTCTCAACTCGTGATATCCGGATCGCACTTCGGATTTAGTACGTGGCTCAAAGGGGAAGTCATCAAAGGCTCTATCATTTCACATGATTAAACCGATAATTGTTTATCAATACCATATACCGGCGAACATCTATGACTTATTTTAAGTGGATTAAATAAATATTTCGAATATTTGGCGCAGTAATTCACTTATTTTATTAATTTTTGCTCAAAAAAAGTGCCAAATTTCGAGACCATGTCTACTCAGTCACGGTCGACATACATCACCATCACGTGACAAACCATTTTACCCTAGTATTCTTCCTAACCCGAAATCTCGCCTTCATCTTCCAACTCCCTCTCCAGCTTCTGTAATGTTTTCGGCCATTTTTCAAAGATGCGCTACGCGATGAGATCTAATATACTGTGGCTAATCAATGACGTATTATTAGGAACTTTCTAGACCTTTTCACAATGTAACTATTGTTCCCCTGCATGCAGACCTATCAATGCGCAGAAATTCGCGTTTTGTCTAATAATTTTCCGCAGTGTATGATGAACAAACGGATATTTTATTATAAAAACAGCACTGGTTTAACTTCGGAAATCAACCACAACGCAATAAATATCGTTAAATCAATACATCGTGTAAAGCAATAAAACAAATCTGTCAATTTCCACCAACAACACTACGAAAATGCTCACATTCACAAGCGAATTCTTCCTTGGAGTATTAATTGGATTCGTTCTTGGTTCATTAGTAAATTGGCTAATCTGTAATAGCCAACTCAATCGTACTGGCGCATTGTTTAAGACTGGAAAATCAAGAAGGTTGTCAAAAACGAAACCAGCAGCAAACAAAATTTACTCACAAGATTTTGAAACATTATGGAACGATCTAAAACAATTATACGATAAACGAACATTGGATTCAAAGTTTTCATTTAACGAAATGGTTTCGAAATTCATACATTACTTTGAAGTAAAAGCTATTGCATCTTCCACGATACAATTTTTTGTTTTCGAAGAACAACTCCGCGGAAAAAGATTATTGAGGCAATCAAACGTTGGATTGACGAAGAGAAGAAGAAAAATGTATACCACTCAGATGGGGAAAACGAAAATGAAGAAATAGAGGATAGTAATAGATAACCAGTGTAATTACTGTGCTCTCGCCTATCTTGATCCCGTTTGTTGGGTATGATTTTCAATGAATAGAAAAAGTATTCTGTGAAAACCATTTATACTAATATACTAATATCGATTAACGTCGTCGTTAGACTTTTTATTTTATCTAAAGTAATGGATACCAATCCGCCTGAAACACTTCAAACCCTCCTCACGTATGAGAAAACGCCTGGTCAAGCACAAAGATTTCTCGGTACAGTTCGTAATTTTCTTTATATACATTAATATCATAGTGGTAATACATATAGTAGTGTTTTGATGTTTGTTTCCTTAACCTATTTGTAGCTCGCGTGGGCAAGAACTTCAGGTGGCCCTCCTCAATGCCAGAATACCTCAGAAGTGGTGCCTTCGAGAACATCGCTGATGTTGATTTCGAATTCGATGATGAGGTCGGATTTAACCTCTTATTTTTCTACAACGCACTCGACAGTGGCGAATTTTCTGAACATGAAAACGAGTGAGTGACGGTACATAAACAGAGGGTAATAGAGTATGGACAAAAGTATGATGATGATAAATTGGACTTCATTCTCGAAACCATGCCCGGTGCTGTCCAAATCCCGGTTGATCAGAAATGTCTGCCACGTAATCCACCAGCAAAGATCTGAAAATGGCAACGACTACAAGGTTTGAATACGTATTTGATCATAGGGTTTGGAAAATTTTATCTTATGAAAGTACTTGTAATAAAAGATATATTCATGTAGTTTTTCAAGTTAATTTAGTGATTTTTTCAAATAAAGGTCAGAATTCGTGTCAAAAGACCCAGGGAAGGTTTAATTGCTCTACTTGAGTACGATTATTATGACATCGATAATAACAACAAGAAGTATACATGCGTGGTTGATACAGGTGCGCCACAAACAATCTTACAATTTTATATTAAGCAAACGCTTGGGAAAAAGGGCTGGAGCACGCTTTATTCAATAGCTGGAGGTTACGGGGCGCCTGCAAAACAATACTCTGCATCTCGGATGTTTGAAATATCTATTGGCGATAATGATAATTGGTCAAAATGGGTTCAAGCCAAAATTGCAGTCTGGGAAAAAGAACCCGGTGATCAAGTGGCATATGCCCTTGTTGGTAACGATGTTACTGACCAACTAGCTTATGCACATGAACCGGGACAATCAATCAAGTTTTTAGATCCTCAAGATGAACCCAATCTCACCCAGTTTTTGAGTGAATGTGCTTGAATCCGAAAGATGTAATTCGAGACCTGTAATGAAATCTGCTTTTCATTCATCATGCAATTTCTTATTTTTACTATACATGAAAAATGAAACTCCTATTAAAGGTATTACGATAAGATTTGAGATGGATCCACTTCTTAATTTGATATGTTTTAGTAGTAAAAAAAAATGCTTTTTTAACGCGAAATTAATTGCCTCCGAAATGACAGTGTTTGCGAAATAAATATTCAAAATTTTTTAAATAAAGCATTTAAAATTACAATTTACTTAATAAGACCCAATTCTCGAAGATACTCTGGGATAACTATATATGGGGCATGCTGCAACAAAACCAGACAAAGTGAACATTCTATAAATGAGGGACTGATTGTGATGTGAGTGCA